ATGTGGTCAATGGATGGGATGCTACGTGGGAGCAGGTTGTTTTGGACACCCAGGAGCACAGAACATACATCTTCACATATATGAGGGGGCTTCAAAAAGATCATGGAAAAATTTGTATCATCATTTAATTCTGTTTTCTTCCCCCTACAAACTTTTTGAAGTACACTTGTAGTGCAGTTAGTAAGCAGGATCCTGTGTGTGTGTGCATGTGTGTGTGTGCGTGTGTGTGTGTTCCTGCTCAGGTGAGTAAGCCTTTGTTGTTTGGTGTAGGGTCACTCAATGAGCAGACCCTATGCATGGAATCATTAGAACTGTAATCTTTTAATTTTTTAGGAGTCCATTGTTAAATAATCAAATGCCTCTGGAGATTGAGACTTGAATCCTGCAGTGGAAAATCTCTTTGTCACATCAGATTTTAAGAAGGAAATCAACTAAGATGGAAGGGGATACAGGAGAGAGAGTTTCTTTATGCTAGAGGTGAAGAAATGAAGGTAGAGAGAAAGCACCTGTAGAATCTAATAACCAGATCCCAGGCTGACATGCAGCAAGTGTGGCTTGGGGTGGCTCTCATATGCAGCAGGAAATTGGTGGTCACAGCCGTGGGTCAGTTGGTCTTAGTGTCACACCAGCCTTCGGGGCCCTCAGTAGCACTTCGGTTTGGTGTAGTGCTTGTTTCAGTGTTCCTAGTGCAGTGTCACGTACATATTCAGTCTGTTAGAATTTGTTAGTGTTAGGAATCGAGGACGGCAGAATTAGAGAAGAATATGATCGGGCAGGATGGGAACATACATGCATCCTATTCCTCATGGGCAACAGGTGAGAGAGATCTGGAATATCTCCCTCTCCAGCTCAGCGAGACTGAAGTTGGGGAAACTTTACAAACACGCTTGAGAAGAGGATGCTGTCAGTGGGATTCTGAATCCTTTTCAAGGGCCCAGTAGCTCTATGATGTTCAATGGAACTGCCTTTAATTAACCGTGACAACAGCCTGCCACCCTTTCCAGTCCTGACCCATCTTGTGTAAATTCATGCCCAGACCACAGACTGCAAGAATTGTGAAGACCTAGTATTGTGCAAGGCACTCCTGGCCGTTGAGGCCACACGGATGTGTATTTGCTTCTTGGCCCCGTCCCATAACAGGTGTGTGACCTTGGGCGAGTAGTTAACCTCTCCGAGATTTAGCTTTCTCATCTGAACATAAGGAAAATAGTCATCTCCCTCGCACACACATGGTACGATACCTGGAACTCAGTGAGTGCTAGTCTTGCTTCCTTCCACCCTATGGTAGGCTTAAATGGGACCTGGAAGAGCCTAAGGCGGGCACAAATTCATCAGGCACACAGGTGCAGGGCAACTTAACGACACATGTCTGTTGCATTTAGTATGTGCATCTATGTATCACAGGTGCAGTGTAAGCAAACATCAGATTGCAAATCTTTTCTCTTTAAAAAGTTCTTTTCAAAAATTGCTATTAATTTTTTTCTTCTAGATTACTAATTTCTGATCAGAGGGAACAACAAATGTAAAATTTACATGAACTCACTTTTGCTCAGTAAGGCATTTAAAGTGCTAATACAGTTATGCTGAGGCAGCAACTCTGGGCTTTGGTTTACTCAACAGTAAGAGAAGGGGATTGGAATAAACTGCCATGAGAAATATAAAGCCTAATGCAAATGCACACACATTCAGAAAACAACATCAGGAGTTTGTTTATAGACTCCGTGAAACCAAAGTCACTCTCCCAACCTGGGCTAAGAATCTCTGAACTTGTTCATCCCCAAAGGTCACTGAAGTTTTATACATTTGCTGTTCTGACATCCATAATGTGTGGTCTGTAGGGTGTGTGTGTGTGTGCGTGTGCGTGTGTGTGTGTAGGGTGTTCATGTTTTCCTCTTTCACCCCTCTCCCTATGAATGTTGTTAAATTTGCTGCTCTGAACCAAAAGGAGGTGGAACAGGGTTTGGGCAGCAATGAATGAATCTCTTTAAACAGAAATTAGGAAATAAATATTGGATTGGTTAACAAATGGAAGATGAATAATATTTTCAAAGTCTTTATAGTAATTATAAAATGACTTAACACCTTTATTTCATAGAAATGATACTCAGGAATGGAAATTAAATGTCATCAGAAGAAATAAACACAGCTGTTTTACCAAAAAACTGGTAATTAGTAGAAGAGTGGAAGTTAAAAGATCTTTGCAGATGACCTGTAACAATAGTTACTGTCAAAAACTGGTCAACAGAACATCATTGTACAAGGTAATGATTTTTAAATATTTTGGCTTAAGACTTGCTATAAAAGATAAAGTTCTAAAGTGACGGCTGTGGACCATTTTGGTCTCATAAAAAATAAGCTGTTTGACCCCACACAGGTCACTTGGCCTGTGGTCGTGGGGCTGTTGTAAAGAGCAAATACATAATGTAGGTAGCACAGAGCTGACCTGTATTAGATGTTCAGTAAAAGATAACGTCTTTCTTTCCCCTATCTATCTTCATTTTCATTCTCTTTCAGTAAGTTAATTTTTAGGAGTGCTAGTTTAAGGAGTTTTATTTCCTTCTGTCATATGAGCTTAAAATGTAAAACTCTATTGTATGTATTTTTTCTGAATATATGAATCCATTTTATAAAATTGGAAGATGGAAAAGCAAATAAATAAGAAAGTAAAACTCACTAATAATCCCACCAGCCAGAGACTGTGTGTGTGTTTTTTTGTGTGTGTAAACATCTACTTTTAAAAAGTGGTAAAATTTATTGCTTGTGTCTTTTATCCACGGCCCGATAAATTAAACTTTTAAATGCATTTATTGCATCTCACTATTGCTTCTTTATGGATAGCCTGTTTATTTCCTCTATTTTCTTTTGTCAGTGTATCTTTTACTGTTGAATTGTAAGAGCTCTTTTAGGCAATGCTTGGAGATTGCATACAAACATATGTGTATGGATACAGTGTTCTGTGTGTACACAAGACAAAGTGTGTAATTTCTATACAAGAACAAATCTGAATAATATGACTCTGTCGTGGAAACTGTGAAGTCTGTGGGATGGTGTTCTGAACGGAGTATTTGGGAAAGTTGGAGCAACTGCTGATGATTTTCTGGAAGCTTGTTTGTGCCTTTTGCTGGAACGCTGTTGAACTGTGATTTCTCAGGGAGCTCTTATCTGAAATGTTTTCTAAACACTTGAATGCAGTCACAAGTCAACTAGACTCTACTTCCTGTTGAATGCACAAATGTTTTACAGTACCTGTAAATTGGTGAGGTTCCGTGTTCTGGGTTATGAGAAATCCCTATAGGCAGATATTTAAATTTAGAAAATAAACGTGCTGAGCATATTTTTAGCTCAATAATTGACCACAGTGCTACATACTCTAAGTCTGTTGACTGATCATGAACTAACTGAGGGAACGGGAACAAGGAAGCAAAATCAGGAAACTGCTGGCTGGAAATGAATATGAAGTCTCTGATATTTTTTATATATCTTGAAAAATATCAGTTTGGGTTTATAAAATGTGGCATACAAAATTACTGATAGGAGGCACACATATGGGTGCTTTACAGGCCTATTCGAGGCACCTTCTGGGTTTGGCCCCAGTGGCCAGCACCTTTGGCCAGTTTTTTTTTTTTTTTTCCTTTTTTTGTCTTTTTTACTGACCGGTAATGGGATCGCAACCCTCCGGCCCGATAAATTAAACTTTTAAATGTATTTATTGCATCTCACTATTGCTTCTTTATGGATAGCCTGTATCTTTTACTGTTGAATTGTAAGAGCTCTTTTAGGCAATGCTCGGAGATTGCATACACACATATGTGTATGGATACAGTGTTCTGTGTGTACACAAGACAAAGTGTGTAATTTCTATACAAGAACAAATCTGAATAATATGACTCTGTCGTGGAAACTGTGAAGTCTGTGGGATGGTGTTCTGAACGGAGGATTTGGGAAAGTTGGAGCAACTGCTGATGATTTTCTGGAAGCTTGTTTGTGCCTTTTGCTGGAACGCTGTTGACCTGTGATTTCTCAGGGAGCTCTTATCTGAAATGTTTTCTAAACACTTGAATGCAGTCACAAGTCAACTTGACTCTACTTCCTGTTGAATGCACAAATGTTTTACAGTACCTGTAAATTGGTGAGGTTCCGTGTTCTGGGTTATGAGAAATCCCTATAGGCAGATATTTAAATTTAGAAAATAAACGTGCTGAGCATATTTTTAGTTTATTTATTTATTTATTTTTGTCTTTTTCCATGTCCGGCAACGGATTGCAACCCTCAGTGTTACCCCCGTACCGGACCGGGACCGGCAACGGGATCGCAACCCTCGGTGTCGCCCCTGCACCTCGCTCAGCCAGTGAGCGGGAACCAGTCTGTATGTGGGATCTGAACCCTCGGCGGAAGCGCAGCCGCACTTCCCAAGCGGCGCACTAGCACAGTGCGCCACCGGGCCGGCCCCCTTATAGGCAGATATTTAAATTTAGAAAATAAATGTGCTGAGCATATTTTTAGCTCAATAATTGACCACAGTGCTACATACTCTAAGTCTGTTGACTGATCATGAACTAACTGAGGGAAAGGGAAGAAGGAAGCAAAATCAGTAAACTGCTGGCTGGAAATGAATATGAAGTCTCTGATATATTTTATATATCTTGAAAAATATCAGTTTGGGTTTATAAAATGTGGCATACAAAATTACTGATAGGAGGCACAGATATGGGTGCTTTACAGGCCCACTCGAGGCACCTTCTGGGTTTGGCCCCAGTGGCCAGCAGCTTTGGCCAGTTTTGAGGAAGAAGTGTGGGCAGGGGGCTCTGCTTGTGTGGAATTTGCAGGAACAGTTTTGAGCAGTCAAGGACAGACATTCAGCTCCTGTTTTCCCATCTGGATTGCTTCAGGACCTGCCTGGTAGTGACTGATGGCTAGATTGAAGAAAGTGGCTTTATTATTATTATTATTAAATTCCTGTGATGTATCTGGAAACCATGAGAGAGGTGTTCGAGTGTGCCCGTGGATTTGGATAATCCTGATGCACTTCTGGTCTGTCCACTGCCTTCTGGTGCAGGGGACACCAGGCGGGATCAGTAGCTGCTATGTACTCAGCTCTCTGCGTAATTCTGCTCCCACCCCGTGACCTGCACCCAGGATGGGCAGTCGTGAGTACACGGAATTGAACTGAGAGTGTTAGGAAGCAGAGTCATGATGCAAGCAGGAATTTTTTGCTGTAGTGTTCCCTGTGCACGTGCGTGTGTCTGTGTTTGTGTAAAAGAGAGATTAAAAGAAAACGACGAAAGCTGCTATGTTCTATTTCCCAGCGTGTATTAATAATGACAATGAGAATGGCATTAACGGGGCTGCATTTCATTGCCCCAGTGGCAGCACTGGGATGTTTAGTAGGGAATTGCTAGTTTA